TGTTTATTCAATATTTATTTATGATTGATTACATGTATCTTATAATCACCTGGTACATGACATGCATTGGTGGTTCAATATTTGCCTGGCAGTGACTCTTTTCCAATTCACGTGCTCAATCGTCTATCTGCAGGTATGTATTCCATGAATTTACCATGCTCCTGTTGCTTTCTTGGGTTTTTCATGCTCATGTTGCTTTAATTTCTTGGATCTCTTGCCCAGATGGTTTTTCCTAAGAAACTCTTCCTTTCATGGCTAGTTTAGGGCATTTCTAGCCGATCTCTTAAAAAATAGAGGAGTAAACCTTAGTGAAGTATATTTACTCCGTTAAGTTTTAGCCGGACCTAGCCGATCCCTTGTATATAACGGAGTAAAACATAAAATGGCTCGTACATTTCGTCGAACACTTGCTATGCACCTCTGTGGCGAGTATATTTTAGAATGTTCACGTGTTTCAAAAAAAGTATTTGTGGCTTTATTTTTTTTAATGTCTGTTTGATATTAAAAAAGTGCCATTCAAAATATATTTGCTTATAAAATATAAAAAAAAGTTTGTGTTAGTTAATAAAATGTTCACATGTTTCAAGAATTAGTTCCTGACATTTTTTTAAGAATGTTTATATAGTGAAACAAATGTTCATGTAATTTAAAAAATATTTTGTACCATTAAAAAATGTTCAACGTGTATTTAATATTTTTTTCATGTGTTCAAAAAATGTTCAAACATGTATTTGAAAATGTACATCATATATTAAAAAAGTTGAATGTATGTCAAAAAAAGTTCCACGTGTACACAAAAAAGTACAACATGTACTTAAAAAATCGACATGTATTTGAACAAAGGGAAAAAGAAGCAAAAAATGGAAAAAATAAAATAAATATGACAAAAAGGAAACAAAAAGAAAAACACCTGAAACAACATATAAGAATAAATACACATGGAAGCTTCTAAAGCCGACCTATAGAAACATCCAAAATCCGCTCAGTGGAGCTATAGTACTAGGTTGGTCGACTAGCCTCGTGCCAAAGGCGAGACATAGCCATGGTGCATATTGGAGGGGTGTCGCACATGGCACCGTATATGGGCTGATCGTCATATATATGGGCACCGCACATGGCAGTGTATTAGTGCTTGTTGATATTGCCGTACTTCGTTGTTCAACAAATTTTTTCACCGCTTACTCTTGTTTTCAGTCGGTATGATTTTTTTAAAGAAAAACTGTGAACTATTTTTTTTTCCAAAAAATGCTCACATTGTTTTTCGAAAAAATGGGATTTTAAGAAACTAAAGATTTGTTGAAATTTACAAAAAAATGAAATGTGAATTTTCTTAAGTCTATGAACGACTTTTTCAAAAACAATGTGAACACTTTTAATAAATTTCGGAGCATTATATAAGATCCATGAACCCTCCGTCCGGAAATACTTGCCCTCGAAATGGTTGTATCCACATTTATTTTAGTTATATATACATTCATTTCATCCATTTCATGGACAAGTATTTCCGGACGGAGGGAATAGTAAATATAACAAAAGAGAAAAGAACATGTAAATGGAAAACATGAGCCCAGCCGGCCAGGGCCCATCTACCCGACCCGACCCTGTAAGAAGAGTTGCAAACAAAGCGACCAACCCGCCATTGTTTTTGCTCCTGTCCCTCTCTGCTGGTGAGTGGTCGAGTCCAGCTCCAGCAGAGCGGACGGAGGCCAGTGACGAACAGAGCGGACGGTGGCCAGTGACGAACGGCAGCTCTGCTCCCCGTCCGGCATGGTCGCACGGCCTCTCCTCCACCCGCTGGAACCGGAAGCAAGCGCACATCCACCACGTCAGGTCAGTCGCTGTCACCTCCTGCCTGACTGCCCGCCATGTGTTTGTGTTTATGTTTGTGTTTATGTTTATTCCCCTAAGATAAGATTCCTTCCACTGCCACCCAGCTCGCTCGAGTACCCTACCATGGTGACCAAGCAAACCACTCAGTTTCAGTTGGCCTCCCTGCTTCTGCTTGCATCCCTACAAACTAACTACTTCTACTGCGTGCGTAATGGCCATCCATACAGCTCAGCTCTCATCCACCTGCCTGCCCGCCCCCCAGGTGCTTGCGATTATTCCTCTAACTTCCGTTCCACAACTGCGGCCACTTGCTTTGGTAGCATCGCTGCCTCCGTCTATCTGGCCATCCGTCTCGGTGCATCCCAGGAATTTACTAATGGCCATACATCCCCCGCCAAGCTAGGTACCTACAGCCTACAGCTAACTTAAATTACTCCCTCCGTTCCTAAATATAAGTCTTTGTAGAGATTCCACTATGAACCACATACGGATGTATATAGATGCATTTTGAGTATGGATTCACTCATTTTGCTCCGTATGTAGTCCATGGTGAAATCTTTACAAAGACTTACATTTAGGAACGGAGGAAGTAGTTCCCTAAAAATAAAATAGGTGAATATAACTTTTTCACCAAGTTTGTGCTCTTTATCAGATTGTAATTTTATAGTACACAAGTAGCTTCATGAAGGACAATACAACTTTGGAACCTTCTGTACGCTCGACGATGTAACCAAGAAGCAAGCTATTTCCATGCGTTTCCTATTGTCTTCCCGTTGTCACCAACCGTTGCTTGTATTCTTCATCCCTCTGAGAAAACTTCTGCCGCCCTCTCCAGCAATGAGAATGAGAGAACGATTAAAGTATGCAGGCGATTGAGACTTGGAAAAAATTCCTTACCATGGCATGTCCTTGTGCCAGCAACGTGAAGGGTACAATGCCACCAGCGTGAGATCCACCGTCTAGTCTTGTTTTCTATGGTTTCACTTCACAGGATGCGCGTTAATTATCATACCAAGGGCTTTGTACCGTGAAAGAGCTCTGTTTCTAGCTCATGACAGCCCCTTATAAAACTGCTGGCTTAGACAACACCTGGCATCAGATACAGATCAGATCCGTTGGGGGCATTACTGGACTTACAGCCATTTGTTTGATCTCTCTGTGTGGGCATATATATAAGGTGTCTCCTGCAGCTTACAGGCCTCCTACAACGACTCAAACCAACACAACCCTTTTGCAGTTAGCAAGGCCTAGGCAGTGGCACCCATCACCGAAATATCGGCACCTCGTGCACACACGTCAACGTATGTACCTATTCCCGTCCTTTAATTTGCAACTAGCTTGTACAAGTAAGAGCTCATCTAGGATTCATTACTTTTGATTGGTGACAGCAAATTAGTACATGCATATATCTAAGACGGATTGGATTCTCTTTGGTTCCTGGATCGATGCAGGTAGTCCATCCCTGCATCAAACGATGTATGTGGCCCTCGCCACGGCACAATGGGTGGTGGCCAAGGCGCTGGCCCCTGTTGCGGATGGCATCCTAGGGGCTTGGGCGGCCAGCAGGAACTTTTGTCTCAACATCGAGGCCCTCAGCATGGAACTTCTGCTCGTGAAGGCTACGCTAGAACAAGCTGCCCTCAAGGAGCTTAGCGGCCCAACCATGGAGGTGCTGCTGCAGAAACTGCGGGACTCGGCACACAATGCCGAAGACTTGCTGGACAAGCTAGACTACTTCCGCATCCATGACAAGCTCCATGGCACGCATGATGCTGCTGATAAGCACGGCAAGGGTTGCCTCTGCAACCTTGCCTTCAATGCTCACCACACCGCCAAAGCTGTTGCCAAAATGGTCAACTGTTGCCCTTGGCAGCGTGCTAAGCGCCAACAGAGGTCACACAGTGATTGCTCCTCAGTGTCAGACACCAATGAGGACGTCAGCGGATGCATGCCAAAGCTCAGTAAACTCTTATGTTGCTCATCTTCTCCACATCCACATGTTCGTGATGATGATTGTGGCAAGTCCCAAGAAACACAAAAGTTTGAGTTTAATAGGGTTGATTTCTCTCAAAGGATGAAGGACATTGTAGAGAAACTGCAGCTTATCCGTAGTGAGGTTAACAAGCTTCTTCAAGGTTGTGACCCTAGAATTGTCCCAAACATTGCTCAGAGGCGTCCAGTCACCAAAGGTCGGATTGATGAGCCAAAATTGCATGGGAGGGGCCCTGTCATGAATACAATCATACATGACATCACCAATGGTCAGTACTGTGACAAGGGTCTAACTGTGCTTCTAGTTGTTGGTCCTGGTGGAATGGGGAAGACTACACTGATACAACACATATATCGCAGCCAACAAATGCAAGATCATTTTCCCGTCATGATTTGGATATGTGTGTCACTCAGTTTCAATCTGGATCAGGTGCTAGAGCAGATTAAAACTTGCACCCCTGCAGTTGAAAAGGAAAAAATTGGCAGTATAACTGAAGATTTGATTGAGCAAAGATTAAAATCTAAAAGGTTCTTACTTGTATTGGATGATATATGGAAGATTAGTAATGGGGATGACTGGGGAAAATTATTGTCGACACTCAATAAATCAGAGGAAAAGGGTTCCATGATTCTGGTCACAACTCGGTTTGAAGCAGTAGCGCAGAAGGTTGAAACACCTTGCCAGTCAATAAAGCTGAATGGTTTAGAATCTGAAGAGTTTAGAAAGTTATTCCTTGCATTTGTCTTTGGTGATGAGCAATATCCAAGGGACAAACAATTTTTGCTTGAGACTGGAGATAAGATAATGGAAAAACTAAAGGGTTCCCCTCTTGCAGCAAAAACAGTTGGTAGATTACTGAGTAAAGACCTTAGTTTGCATCACTGGAAAAGGGTCTTAAAAAGTAAAGGATGGGAGAAGCAGACCGATGACAATGAAATTATGCCTGCCTTGAAGCTTAGCTATGACTTTCTTCCTTTTCATCTGCAACAGTGCTTTGCCTATTCTGGATTGTTTCCTGAAGATTACAATTTCAGAAGTGATGAGCTGATCAGTCTATGGATCGGACTAGATATTTTGATACCCAATGGCCAAAACCAAACATTTGAAGACATAGGTCTGAGCAATTTAAATGAGTTAGTCACGCATGGATTTTTCAGAGAAGAGGAAACCAAGTATGGTCTACGTTATGTTATGCATGACCTATTGCATGATTTGGCATTGAAGGTTGCATCACATGATTGTCTTAGTTTATGTCTCTCTGATGTTGGACCAGTGGAAGCTCAGCCATCCGTCCGTCACTTGTCTATAAGCACAGGTGGCTTAGGTGAATATGATGCAGTGTCTGGTGAAAAATTGAAGAGTAAATTGGAAGAACTGAACACAAGATTTAAGGCTGGACATTTGCAAACATTGATGTTATTTGGAAAAATGGATGAAGGTTTTGTCAAGATATTTGGTGATTTTTTGGGGGAAGCGAACACTCTTCGTGTTCTTCATTTGCCCGAAATGCTTTGTCCCATGGAGTTCATGTTACATAACTTTTCAGGACTTCTCCACCTACGATACCTATGTCTAGGGACACATGACAACCAGATGCATTTACCACTTAGCATCTCTAAATTTTATCATTTAAGGATTCTAGATCTTAAATGGTGGAACGGCAGTCGTGATTTTCCTGATGACATGAGCAACCTTGCCAAACTGTGCCATTTTTATGTCCCAAGTGATGGCCAGCTTCATTCTGATATTTATAATGTGGGTAAACTTAAACTCTTAGAAGAGTTGAAGGTATTTCAAGTCAATAAAAAAAGTGAAGGGTTTGAACCAAAGCAACTAGAGCACTTGACCAAGCTAAGGGAGCTTGGCATCTACAACCTTGAGAAGATAGATACAGCAGAAGAAGCAGCTCAAGCAAAACTGATGGAGAAAAATTACTTGAGGAGGTTAACATTGGACTGGGATAGTAAGCTATCTAGTGTTGCGCCTGGTGTGCAAGCAGCAGTTCTTGAGAGCCTACAACCACATGGAGATCTTCAAGTGTTGTGCATTAGAGGGCACGGAGGTCCTTATCCAACATGGCTGGGTGATGAGTTCGCTGTTGAGGGTCTACAATCTCTTCATCTTTATGGTGTTTCTTGGGAAGTTTTCCCTTCTTTAGGGAAGGCGTGGGATCTTCGTGAATTATGTTTTGAGGATATTGACAGTCTGAAGGAGTTTATCATAGTGAAAAGCTTTTGCATGCTAGCAAAGGTTGAACTCATTGGCCTAGGAAATTTTGAAAAATGGGTTTACCCAGCTGAACAAGAGTCTTTTGTTGGTGGAGACGTGTTGCCACCGGATGCTCATATGTTCCCTCTTTTGCAAGTTCTGGTTATTAGGAACTGCCCGAAACTGTCGGGGTTGCCTTTTTCAACCCATGTTGTTTCCCTAGATTGGTTCCCCAAGCTACAAGAGCTTCAGGTACATTACTGTCCCGAATTCTTGCCAGTGATTCCCATCTCCTGGATCGAAAATCTGCGTTCTGTCACAATGAAATGTGTAAAGATGCTAAAGGAGTTTGCATACCCAGAATCATCCGGTGGAGCAGAATTGAAAATTACCGGAGAGGGTGATCTGCTTAGCTTAGACAAAGTGCTGGTTTTTGATAAACAAACAAATCTTGCAAAACTGAGACTCGAGAGGTGCCCACCTCTGGAGTTGAAGCATCTTCTGATGCTAACATCGCTGAAGACATTGCTTGTAGAAGATTCAGTTGGTCTAGTTGGACCACTAGGAGGAGGTCAGAGTGATGTGGAATGGCAGCTCCCTATTGAGCATATCTGGATCAACAACTTAAATGGTAATACTGGCGAGGAATTGACAGAGCTCCTCCCCTACCTCCCAAAGCTCTCCAAATTAGTAATATGGGAGTGCAACAATATAAAAAAGCTGGTAGTGGGGGTGGATGTGCAACAAACAACACAAGAAGCATCAGAGATGGGGGGAGGTGAAATAACAGCAGCAACAGAGGAAGAGTATGATGGGGTGCTGCTCTTCCCAGCTCATCTCTGTGACTCGCTACAGGAATTGAAGTTCAGGGGCTGCAAAGAGCTTGTTCCTGGTGCAGGAGGGCTCGAAGCTTTGCGATCCCTCCAGAGATTAACAATACAGGGGTCCCCAAAGTTTGTATCCACCTTCTCCTTTTCCTGTCACATTTTCCCTTCCTCCCTGCAGTTTCTGGAGCTTTGGGATGTGAAAGGCATGGGGACACTGGAGCCTCTCTCAAACCTCTCCTCTCTTATCAGTTTAGAATTGCAAGGTTGTGGAGAGGATCTGAAATGTCAGGGCTTGTGGTCTCTCCTTATCACCGGGGGCCATCTCAAGGAATTAATAGTCTTGGGCAGCCCTAGTTTCTTTGCTGATTGGGATCCCAATCCCAGACGGGCTTTGGAGGATGCTGAGGGAGGTGAAGAGCAGCAGACACAACTTGTTTCATCCACACTGCATTGGCTCGTGACAGATGACATAGCAGGACTTCTTGCTGCACCCGTCTGCAGATTCCTCTCTTCCTCCTTCACCGAGCTGACACTTGTGGGGGATTCGTGTGAAGGGATGGAGCGGTTCAGCAAGGAGCAAGAGGACGCCCTTCAACTCCTCTCCTCCCTCCAGGAACTAGTGTTTTTGGATTTCAAGGACCTTCAACAACTTCCTGCAGGGCTGTGTAACGTTACTAGCCTCAAGATGTTATCAGTCCACTACTGTCCAGATCTCTCGTCATTGCCCAACGATGCCTTCCTGGGTTCACTGGAAAAGCTACGTGTCTGCAACTGCAGCAAGGAGCTAATGGACAAGTGTAGGGGGTTAGTAGGAACCATCCCAGATATCTGGATATTCTGATCCAAGGTAACGCAAACATACTTTCTTGTGTTTTTCCACTTTGCCCTTTTCCTTCATTTCTGCATAATAAAACTTCGTTTGTGGTCTTCCTTTCCTGTACTTAAATCTGGTAAGTACATGTAAACTGGAACTTTACTCCTGTTGTACTATATCTGATAAGACACAGTGTGTGCTGATTGGCCCAACGATGCCCTCCTGGGTTCACTGGAAATGCTATGTGTCTGCAACTGCAGCAAGGAGCTAAAGGACAAGTGCAGGGGGTCAAAATATGGTGATCCAAGGTAACACAAACATACTTTCCTGTGTTTTTCTATTTTGCCCTTTTCCTGCTTAATACATAACTCTGCATTTGTTCCCATCCACCATGCAGGACTCTACCTTGGAGTTCCCATCCACGCCAATATCAGTTACATACACTTCAGCCTATACTCACCGCAAAAAAATCCACTTTTACTCCTGCCATATCAGATTTCCGTTTTCTTCTCAACGGTAGTGAAACTATTTAAGATTTGTTTCTCAACGCCCCTTTTCTTTCTACAGAACGATAAAACCGGCACCATTATCAGCCAATGCCTTCTGCAAGTCTATCTTATTTTCTTCCAATAAAACCTGTGATCACCATTTGTTTTTGTTATGTGTGCAGGTGTTTGTTCGATCTTATAGGCTTCTTCATATCTTGCATTTATATTTAGGTTATTGTTATTCATCAAGACGTGGCAGTCTACTCTCCTATTTTGAGTCTCACGATCAAAATAGCAGTAGGACATCAGTAAGGAATAAATGAGACCTTGGGTCAAGTCTCTCCTATGTTGCTGTCAGTACCAGGTGTTCTTGCATTTCTAATTTCTGTTGGCTTGCTGTTCAGGTGTTCTTATGTTTGTTTGGTGGGCTTTCAAGCCACTTGTGTTTACATTTTGTCCAAAACTCATGAAGACTGAAGGTGTGCCTATTTATAAATAACACTAGTTTATTATGTTGTTCCATATCGGTATAACATTAATATGTAAATTACCTTTATTAAGAGTGAATCAGGTTGTCGATTAATGCCAGGAATTTACTTGGTGACCCCAACTATTTACATGTGAAACCTGCCTATCTAGTGATGGGACTGTAAGTACCTTGCCCTGGTATAATTTTTACCTATTTCAGTCAGACATGCATGTAGTGTCAGTAGCTAACCTCAGTTATGATGTTTGCTCCGTTTTGTAGATGAATCTCCTCGGAAGCAAGATATTGAGTTGGGGGAAAGGTGTGGTTGACTGAGACAGTCTTCTTCCACTGCAATAGCCAGACGAGATTGGTGCTGTTCGGCGCATGCAGTTTTGAGTTTTAACTGTCAACTGTTGCTTGTGACATCTTTGATACAGTGTGCCAAATCCATCTTAACCGCATGCTGGTCACTGTGGAATTGCTGCAGCCATTGCCATGTTGCATATGATATTTTCGAAGGTATCCCCATGCTGCTGCGGCATTTGTGCAAGAAAAGGATAAAGGTCATGTCTAAATATTCAGATCCGCTTCGTTTTAATCACACGGAGGGATGATGCTTTTGTACTAACCAACAAGCAACTCATCTGCACAGGCCATAATGGCAAACAAGCTGACAGCCTTTCATCACCTAAAATTGACACTGCAATGGTAAGAAGGAGGCTATGTATGTCTGCTCTGTGTAGAATGGCGCTATGAATAATCAGCAGACTGAATGGCTGGTCGTATTTTGCAGGTGTAAGTAATTGGTGAAGGTTTTGTACTCTTGGTTCTCGCCAAGAACTGCAACTCCAGCAGAACGTTTATTCATGTGAAGTAATAAGGCCACGGTGAAATGCAACTCTGCAAGAAGTACACTAGCTTAGCTAACATGTTCTTATTAGTAGCTTAACTGACTTGAAAAGTTTCAGAATTGGAGTGCTGGCAAGGACGGTGATGAGTTGAATTGCAAGTCTGCAGAATAAAAATGCTTGCTGGAGCCATGCTAAGGAAGAAGAAGCCTTTCCTAAGGCTACAGCACAAGTGCAGCCTGCAGCTAAGTATATCTGAAGCCTGCCGTTTCATGATGTCTTTCAGAATTAAACTGTTACGACAAGTACGTCATTCACATTCATACCATGTGTGCGATGGTTAGTATTTCGGTCATTTATTCAGTATTAGTGTAGCAGACAATATTGTGACCCTGACCAGCAGAACCATGCCAATTAATTACTTGCACAAATCCGTGTCAGGAACAACCAGACTCCATCATCGTCTGAAGAAATCGACACTTGTCATGTTATTAACTGAAGAAATCGACACCCAGCGGTTATCTTCATCAAATCTATCAGCAACTTACCGCTTTCCCTGGAGTTACTGTTAAATGTAATTTTAGTTTTTGTATACCGTATAGTATTGTATACGGATACCTGCACCTTGTACAACTTGGCTTCCAAGCCAACTCGGCTTCCAAGCCATCTATATTAACATGCAACCGGTGTGGACTCAAGCACTGTTCCCGTCATCACGTTTTTCATGGTACCAGAGCCCCTCCTCCCGTGACCTAGCTGCCGCGCCGCCGCCGCTCTCCAGCCGCCGCCGCCGCCGTAGACAAACAAAACTCGCCGCCGCTGCTACCTTCAAGCCGCCGCCGCCGCATCA